CAGCCCATGAACTCTGCCAAATTTAAGGGAAAGAAATTCGTACATCTAACTGAGGTAAGTCTAGTTTCAATGCAGCAAGATCCGAGGAGTTATGAAGCCATGCACTACGGATGTATTTCGGTACTGATCAAAGGATGAGATTTCCGCATCAGCCAAGTGCAGGATAAACATGCAATAAAATGCCAGTTCTGCAGTAATTAACACTTTTCATCCACTGGCCTTCGACCACTAGATGGCATCTGCATGCTAGACCAATTCTAAGAAAATTGTTCTATCAACTGGATGGGGTTTCATTAAGTAACTGCATTAAATTCTTGTCTAGCATTAGTATAAACAAGACAGACCAAGGAAAACACTATGTCTTCTTATTCTAGGTGGTAAAGGCAAGAAGAGCATCTAAGACTAGCGTGTCAGTTGTTTGCTGTTGTACCTTTGGGTAAGAGCCCTGAGTAGGAAATAATTAAGGTGTTTGTTCTCTATCACTGCTTCAACAGAATGGGGCCTTAAGTCTTACAGCTCATCCTCTTAACCCAGTCTCCTTGAAACCAGATGCAATTAAGGTTCAGTTAAGGAACATTAAAATATAGTTCTTATAACACGTTCCTTCTCCCAGCAATTCATAGAAATGATACATGTTCTACCTTTGTGGAAGGTGCAAGAAGCCACTCAAGAATAGCAACCTGAAATACAAACATAAAATATTCTGGGGTAGCTAGTGGAAAATTACTAATTTATACATGCCCAGGAATTCGACAATACAATGAGGGAGTTAATATGAGGAACTGTAGAAATGCTGCTAGGAAGTAGCCAAAGGTAACAACATGAAATATCTTTAATTATATTCACATTGTGATGTTTGTTGGGACTTCAAAGCAATGGAGAAAAGCATTACATTGGAATACAGTTACTTGCCAAGGTCGTCCTCTGCATTCATCGATGTGCACTCCCCTGCTTGATGTCATGAGCTGTACCAGTTTGTCCGTGTGATACCAGTTTTTTTTCTGGCTAAGCCTTTTCAATAATTAATTGGTTCCATCTACAGCATTGTCTCTGGTACCATGGAAGATTCAAACCTTTAAAGCAACGTGAGCAGGCAGAACTTTCTACCAAGGGGAAAACCAGCTACTTAAAATTATTCTGCTCTTTGCAAATATACGATACTGGTTTTGAGTATCAGCTATCTGTAAGAAAGTAGAAAAACTGTAATCCTGCCTATTTGCTGTACTTCCTCCTCCACGTAACAGTAACTCAGGTTAAGTTAAAACACTGAAATTTAACATCTAGGGCACGTCTATCCTATTTCAGGAGGATTTTTCAACTGGTGCTTGTTTCTACAGCTCTGCCTGGGGAGCTTTTCTCATCTTTAACATAAAGCTTTTTTCTCCATGTGAAGATATAGAATAGCTTTTGCTGATCTTTATTAGCAACTGCATCTAGTAGTGAGCACCCTTCTGATATAGTTGCTTCTAAGACTGAGTCTGCAGTAGGCTGAACACGAGGCTTGGGCTGCAGATTCTGTTAACTAAGGCAGCAGAACCCAGGGAAGGGGCTCTGCTAGGCCACATGCAGTGCACACACTCTGTTCAAAGCTCTACCTGGTCCAGCTGTTTCAGGCAGGAATCTTTCCCTTGGAAAGGATTACAACAGCCATGTATCAGCAAGGGCTTGTGGCAAACAGTTATTTTGAATTATGTTTTTAAATTCTCATTTCTTGGGACATACAGGTGCAGAGATTAATAGGAGTTGAAATAGGACACTGGGAAACAGAATGAATTTTTTTCCTTATTACCAATTAACACATTCAGATTACTACTATTCATTTTAACAAGGTACACTAAGATGTATCTTATGTTGGTAACTTACTTACTGTCCCAACACTGACTTACTGTCACATGGTTTTTCAGTCCAACATGGCCTGAAGTTCCTTCAGCTTTGATCATCTAAACATGCAGTGAGAAGAATGCTTGGTTATACACCCATAAGTTGCATGCAAACACCTGGCTAGATGCTGTCATAAAAACCTTGATCAACCTTTAGAACAAAGCAAGCAAAACCAATGTATGATCCAGGAGGAAAAAAAAAAATAAAGCATGCAGCTGCACTGAGAGTGAGCTTGAAAGCTGCTGCTGCTGCTCATTAGCAGAAGCAAACAGATGACAGCAGAGGAAAAAAATTATCCAGGGCTATGCCTAAAGATCCCAAGCCTAGTATTGATTAATTGAGTTTCTTTTTATTGACAAGAATTACTATGTGCATGAACTTCATTGCAACTCTTTTATATTAAAAAAACCACACTGCTCTTCAAAGCATATTATTAGCCCACGTGGCCCAGAGACATTTGACTGTGCTGTAGTCATCTCTGCTCCAGCATGAACAGACATTCTCTAACCCTTGCTTTTTCACTGGTTCATTTGAAGCCAAATACTCACATTTATCCTCATGTACTTTACAAAGCAGATGGATGCCAATCATGAATCAAGTTACAACTCAAGCAAGTTCAAGAGCAATACTGACAGTATTACTTCGCCTCTGCTCTTTGCTAAGCTGTAATGTTACCTGCCAGGTTTGTACACAGTCTCTATCTCCAACAAACCTGACAGCAAGGAAAGTTCCAGAAACACCAGCCACGGATACAACACTGACAGTATGCAAGGAAGAAATTCAACACCCAGTTAAAGACTAGGTTTTTACGACTATTATCCAGATAAGCCTCTTTTCTGTTAACCTTTCAGCTTTACACCACAGGATAAGCATGGGATATTCGTTTGTCATCTACATATTCTGAAAGTTCCAGCTATCCAAAACAGATTTACTCTCAGGTCACCACCAGTTCAACCATATTCACTAGCAGTAGTGTTTTTTATTTTTCCATTACTATAGAGTAAACAAAGTGTTTGCCCACCCCAAACTAATCACATACAGCTCCTGTAATTTAATCTGACAGCTTCCAGGATATGATGGCAATATCCTCTTAGACTTACCAAAAGATAAGCCACAGACAGGAACACTTCTTTATATAAAGATACCTTGCCACTCATCAACTCCCACTTCTATCCTTTTTTGGCAGAAACACAGCTGAGAGGCTCTCTATTTTCAAACAACCTTAAAACAGGGAAGTAGGCTATTAACAATAAAAGCAACTTCCTTCCACAGATCTGAAGAATTCCCATCGGAGTTTCCCAGGCAAGTAGGCACGCAGCAATTCACTGCACTGGGATACTACATGTGTACCTATTAGCTCCTCTCAACAGAGAGCACAGGACAAATGCAAACTGTCTGCCTAAGAGCATCGTGAAGCTTGGTGACACCTAGCAACGTGGTACACTTGCAGTTAATCACACTAAGCTAGAAGCAAAAAGACCAACTCAGGCTCCAGTGGCCACAAGTACTTCTATGTGTCCAGATGTAGCAAACAATATAATCCACCAGAAAAAGACTCATTACAGTAAGTACTTTCAAGTGAGTCTATTTCTACAGCATTTTTTTGGAAATAGATCAAATCAAGCAGCTAACAATTATGAATATGTCATGCATAGAAAACACTGGCTACTATGAAGCATAAAAAAAAGGTGATGTAAAACAAGAATCTCATATCAATCAACACAAAAGAGACCAAAGAAGCACCCCTTGCAGCAATATTTTAAATTAGATGGAAGCAGGTATTTCTCTAGTGTTCTGGAATCACAAAATGCCTGCCAACCAAAAAGGAACAAGACAAGAGGTTATGTGCCATGTTGTACTCTACTACGAAATCAGGAACGGATGTTACTGGCAGATAAAAGGACATGGAGGGAGAACATGCAAAAATATCCCTCAAATGGTGTGTAATGTTTTAGACACCTCTTAACAGTTCATTTGAGGATCCTCCTGTTACTTCCCAGCACACTAACACTGTGCTACTTAGCAGCATTTTAGGCTTATATGGGCAAGATGTTTACACGGAAAAAACTTATTATCAATTAGACCACTAGCAATTTCCACGGAAGAGTTAATTTTACCTGATTATAACTAGATTCAGGTTCTCTTTTCTGCCTCCTCCAGAATGGACAACAGTAAAAATACTAATGATCTATATTAACTATAATGATCTATATTAACACTGCAAACAAACTGAAGAGGTATGGTGAGTTCTGTTATGTATCTGATGCTCCTGACTTCTTTTTAGTATGGAATAGCAATCATATCTGTAGCAGTAAGGTTATTAAATCATGTCTTTTTTCCACAATACAGGATGAGGGATGTCAGAAGCCATCTCAACTCCCCAGAAGTCAAGACAGCACTCAAATCCTCTGAAAGTGAATGCTGCTATATAAAAATAGCAATGCTTCAGAATACCACCACTAGATCTGGCTTTCTAGTGCCATAAAATAAACTATGAATTTCCTATTTGTTTAGGACACATAAGAAAGCCTGAAGATTTTATTTTCCTTTTGACATAACATCTGTAATACAAGCGAGCATGTTAGGTACTCACATAACAAACAGCTTTACACCTGGACATTTCATGATACAGAAAACATTGTTCCAGAAACTAAGGAAAAAAATTGGGAAGTGTCCATCTGGATGGTTGGTAACATGATGCTTCTTATAATAAGAGGCCAGCACTTGGTAAAACCCAGCATTGTCAGAACTTGTAAAACTAAACCTCAAGTAAGCAACGACTTAGAGCAGGAAATTACCCCGTCAAGGCTTACAGAACAGATTTCACCAATTACCTTGTCACAAACTGAAGTTACTCTCACTTACACAGCTCTTATCACTAACTTTCAAGAACAAGTGTCTTTGAGCAACATCAGGAGAAATCTAATTCATCGTTTTATTCTGGTGCTTGCTTCAAGGTGGGGTAAATTAAACCATTGTTCAAAACCACAGACCAATCCAATATAAATCAGTAACAGATTTATACACTATCAGTTTGTTTTTCTTTTTTTTTTTTAAACAACAAACTCCACACTTCTTGAGTAACAGAAAGGTATGTTAAAATAACCAGTCAGACTTCATTCAAATGAATTAGACAACTTTTACTAAATGAAAAAACCTACATTTAAAATATGCATTTAAAACAAAATGGAATTAGAAAAGAGACTTAAATCAATTTTAAAGAACTTGCTCACTGTGTCAGAAATCAATATATCTCTTGCATTATATAATGTGCCAGTTCATAAAACGTAAGTTACCAGAATCCTCAATTTAACATTTTCAAAGACAATACTAAAGTCAAGAGTTTTACATCTACTGATGCACATTTAGAATGGTATAAATCTGAAGCCTTCCCCCAAAGAATCTTACAAATTTGACAATATTCAATAAAAGCTTTTGTAGTTATATCCCTTAAGTATTGCATCCTAAAGCATCACAAATCTGTGCCTTTCATTTATCTTACTATAAATTTTATATCCTCTCTGTATCTTGCCCTTTGCCAATGTTAACTCTTTTAAGAAAGGAGAGAACTGAAAAGAAATACTGCATAACTCTTGATCATGTACAGAAATTATTGCTACTATAGTACACTACAAAGCAGAAGTCTATACAATAGTATGTGAAATTTGATCATGAAAATCCAAAGGATAATCTTTCGTGACATAAGCCTTATAATCATGTTGGACATTCCTGTAGCGCTTTTAGCTCACCACCCTTCAGCTAGCCTATTGTCTGTTGATGAACATCCATTTAAACACACCCTCTTATGAAAAAGAATGTCAGCTTTCAAAGGCTTAGCAAATAAGGATCTTCATGTTCTGTGGAACTATGTAAGATGAATTTTGATGCAGGTAGGGGAGTTACCTGGAAGCTAAGCATGCCAAAGGTGTTTCATGCTAATAAAACTAAAGCCAAGGTACCACATAATCAAGTTACCAACTAATAGGCAACACCATTTTTGTCCTATTTAAGTTAAATGAAGTGCCACTGCACAGTGTAATGTCAATAATTTAAAACAGTGTAGTGCACAAATTCATGGTGTGGCAGTTTAGGTTAAAAGAAAATCAAGACAGGTTTTTTCTGTCCCAATTTATGTTGGCTGTCAAGCTGTCCAGTCTGGGCATTTTGGACTTAGTTTGCCTTTTAATCACTACAATACGATAAACTTTGCATTAGAATGGGGCACACATTTGGGCGGCATTATTATGAACAATGGGGTGGGGGGCTAGGGGGAGGATAAGATATCAATGGCTGTTCTAAAAAGCCCCTTCCTTATTTCAATTTCAAAGAGAGAGCCAGGAAGTAAGACTAGATACCATATTTGCATCATTCTAGCTACAAAATAACCAAAGTAAAAGCAATCAAGCAACAATAAGACCACTTTACACAAATGGAACATCATGCTCTCATCTGGCTTAACTATTACATCAAGTTTTAACTGGGATGTTGGTCAACTTTAAAAACCGTGGTAAATGTGAATATGTAGTTGCAATAGTTTTTTTTCCTAATAGTTTTTTTTTACTCTATGCTGGATATTAGAACTTGGAGCTATACTTGTTACAATACAGTGTCGCACATCTTTCTACTAGAAAAAATTAATAAAGATCCTTTACCCGTCTCTTTAAGTTAAACGTGTGACATCATAAAGGGTGTCAAATGGCTGGATGGTTTTACAGTGCACACTTATTATATACTGTAATATGGAGTTTTGTCCTTGACAGATCTGATGGTGTTTCTACATTATTCCTTTCTTCACCTCTTCTTCGGTGGATTAGCTGTGCGAGGTGGAGTGACTGGACGACCAGAATTCAGTCCACCATACTGGTACTTGGCTTTCTTTTCAGATGGTTTCAATATCTTAGAGAAAATAAAGAAGCTCTTGAGTCAGTGACAACTAAGAACATTTCAAATACTGCTAAGTCAACACGAAATCTCATTCAACAGGAACAGGGATGGTAGGGAATCACATCATAATCCTACCAATTTCTTAACCCTACATACAACAATACTACTACTTGTAAATCCTTTTAGTTCTACCACTGTGTTAGGGTGGGAAGGGGAAACAAAAGTGGCTGAAAACATGTCCAGGAAGGAGTAGGGATTAAAATCTGGTCACAGTAACCACACTAAAAAGTCCCAATATTCCATTACTCTGTGTAATTACATACCCTGTTCACTAGGTATTATTAAAAAGAGTCACCCAATTAAACTTTGAAATAAATATCTGAATAGAGGGAATAACTTAATATGCAGGAGTTTGGAAAACAGCAAATCCCATACAGTTCTCTGGAGAACAGCTGGTTTGCAGTTCTAATTGTCCACAAACACCAGCCTGCAGTGCTGTCCTTTCTGTTGCTCAAGGATACTACCCTAGACTAACCATGAGCACATCAACAAGTAGATTAAATCAGTTCATACAGCCCAAAATCTAAAGTAATATTTAATGTACAAATAAATCATACCTGAAAGGAACACATCAGAGTTTCATCCACACTCATCATGCCCCCTGCATTGTCAAACTCTCCACAATAATTTGGAGCTGAGAATAGGGTGACCAACTGCCGTTTAGCAAAGAATTCATATCCATCTTCAACCACCTGTCAACACCAGAGAAATCAATACAGCTCACAAAAAAAGGCATAAAAAACCAAACTAGTGTTGAGACAAACAGGCCTTATCTTACAAGAGATGACAAGAACTCATCAAAAAGATATTTTATGTCTTGGCTTTCAGACAGGACAGGTTCAGTCATTTTGTCTTATCTGCACACTGAATGCCAAATCAGGTAGCTTAACCCGTCTGGCGCTTCCAATGTTAAATATGCATCAGCTTGACTGTTCAATATTTTCATACTCGAAGTCCGATTATGCGCTGCCAGTTTAAAGATTCCCAGCGTTTCATGGTTTATACACAGAATTTGGATGTTTGAACTATTAGTTCAGAGCACACAAGGTCTGGATACCATCTTCACTGCAACTGTAATAGTTAAGTTGCACTTATATTGGTGTTGATCACACAAAGAAATCTTAATATTCATTTTACACAAGGACATCTTCTCTAATGTTTTAGCAGTAAAATTGCAAGGAGAAAGATTTAAGCGTTCTGATAGTATACTGAAGCCTAACAGTGACACAGAATAAAAAGCCTAATTTGTTTCACAGCATGAGAAACCTTTTAAAATTGACTAAATAATGAAACTGAAGTGTTACACAGGAAATTGAACCCTGATGTCCACCTAAGTAGGACACTTGCTTAAAGTAACTTAATAAAAACTGCAAAAAAAAAAATGTACATGAAGATTGATGATGCCAAAAATAACCTTGCTTCCTGCACATTTCAGTAAGTCAAACAATCTATGCCATAGTACTCTAGATAGCTGAAGAAAAATGAAGGCAACCATGAAATCTTCTGTACAGACTTGTTTGTAGAAACATTCAAAATGCATGTAATACTCCCATGAAGTGAAGCAGAGAGAGCTTGAGCCACAACTACCAGAGAACTGACAGCTACTACTATAATGGAAGTACTCCAAAACTTCAGTATAAATCTGGAATTCAAGTCACTTTGCCACTTTAAACCTGGACACTTTACCTCTGATGTTTATATAAAATAGTCTTAACAGTAAACAGATGACAGAAAAGAAAGAGAGCAATGGGGAAATCTAGTGTTAGTATTTTACTTCACTGACATTAGACAGTTCAATATGAGTCAACAGAAGAACAATCTCATAGTCCCTTCATGAGGAAGATTTTTTTTCCCTAAAAATAACACAATGTAAAATAAGTTAAAATATATCCTACTGATAATCAGCACCAAAGAGGCAGAAGGAGGAGAGGTTTTAAGAAGCAACAGCAGCATAATTCATACCTGGTGAGCTCGACAGATCAAATCCAGATCATGACGATTCAGAAATTTACTGACCACATCAGCACCAAAAGTGAAAGAGACCCCACGATCATTTTCACCCCAACCTTGTACATCTTTGTCTGGGTCAGACCACAGCAGGTCACACAGCAAGCCTTTAAAAGATAATACAAGTGAAGATGCTCGTCTTAGAAAGTATTATTCTATAATGTAAAATAGTTTTATTGCAATTACCAGAGCAGCTCTCCTAAAGAAAATTGCCTTAGCAACAAATTCAGCAACAGTTAAACTGAGACTCAGACAAAAGATATGGTCTGCCTAAGTTTGGAGATTTTCTCCCCTCACCACTGATGGTAGCTTGAGATGAAACAAGTCAGAGTCAAATAGTTCTCTGAAATAATATTTAATTGCAATATTCATCATGCTTACAGTGAGCATTTGAGGAGTCCAAAATACTGCGGTAGGTGCATTTTAAAAGGCAACCACCAGTTTCATAGCTCAGCAAGAAACCCTAGTTTGAAAGCTGCAGTAAATTTTTAAAATCCTATGCAAGGTCACTCATAAATACAGCAAATAAACTTATACCACAAGCTTCCGAACATGGAACAGCTTTGATTCTTACCTTTGTTGCCAAACATGAAGAACCTTACATGAATCATAGAATGGTTTGGGTTGGAAGTGACCTGAAAGATCATTCAGTTCCAACCCCCCTGCCATCAGCAGGGACACCTTCCACTAGACCAGGTTGCTCAAAGCCTCATCCAACCTGGCCCTGAACACTTCCAGGGAGGGGGCATCAACAACTTCTCGGGGCAAATCAAAAATTTAACATAGCAAAATTCTGATATATTGTTTCAGGTAAAACTTTTTGTTTGCTTGGACTACTGTTGACTTTTCAAAAAGCCTCATGCCAACCAGTCTGGAATCTAAATTAGAACAATAAACCTCTCTGGCATTTTAGCACTAGTCAAGATCTTTTTTTTGCTGCCAACAAAAGGTCAACTAACTCTGGAATTAAAACCAAATTTCTCTAGATCAGCTGCTGTGCCTTTATACCTAGAACTTTCAAAGCATTTCCACATGAGAAAGAACCAGGCTAATTCAACTACAACACAAACAAAAAGCATTCAAAGTGTATTTCATAGTTTTCCATGAAACTGTACTTCCTTTACCTGTGATGGCAAACCCATAGGCATTTAAATACTTAAGAACACTATTTCACAATATGAAGGAGATGCCAGCAGGCTCTTTTATCTGGCACTCAGAAGTTTGAGTTATAATTACATCTGCTTATTTGCTAAACAAAATATTGAAGACTATTTCTTAAATAACAGACCCTTCAAGTTGTAACCAAGCAAAACTAATGCCTGAAACCTACTGTGCAACTAGACCGTTCTGTAACTACATACAGCTATCCAATGGTCTTTGAGGTCAGTCACAGTTCCTCTCTAGCAGAGGCTGAAATTTTATTTGCTTTTAGAAGACAAAGAATAGAGCAAGTACAACTGCATTTTAGATAAAGTATCCACCTAGAAATAAACTCCTGAATACAGTGTATGACAAAAACTTTAGTGAAATTTAGTTCTATATTGAATAACATGCTTTACAAAACAGAATAGTTGCATTGCAATCCCTAACAGCTTCTTATCTTGAATTTCCAAGAAGTGACAGAAGCTGCTTGCCTCAGATACTTAGGAAGCACTTCCTATTCTCTCCCCAGAATCAAATAATCTTTAGGGTTATACACAGCAATAGGCAATTCTATCCTATAATCTTTAGCAGTGGTGAAACAGATCCCTGCAACAAGTTTGTCTAAACTAATTTGCCCAAGTAGGTTTATATTTTAACATGAAACATTTACCATTGCAATAGCTTAGGCTGACCAGGAACATACTGTAACACAGCTGATATGAAGCATTGAAGATTATACAAAAGAGGGAGTTAAGAGTTTCCTAATAAGCAAATGGTTGGCAATGCTGACCAAAACACATCATTTATACCTTGGCCTCACAAAACACAAATACTTTAACTGTTACCAAAGGCAAGTGTGTTAAGTTGGAATACAAAGATAGATTTGAGTGAACAGCTTCCAAACCCCATAAAAATGCCACCAAAATAAGAAGTCTTCAAATCACAGTTGAGGTTGAAAAGACTTTTTCCCCCATCAGGCCAGAAAAAACTATCATGATGATCTAATCTTTTCAGCACAAGCCATACAAACACCTACCAAGAATTTCTGTATGAACACATTCACCAAGGGACATCCCTCCACAAAGGCACAGCTTCTAAGGGCTTGTAACTTTCACAAAAGTGAGACCATTTCAGTTTATTTTCCATTTTTCCATGAGATTTACTTCCATTCTATAGTATCAGTTGCCTTAATTAGGTCCAAAAGGCCAAGACCTTCTATGTCACTGTACTATATGCACACATGCATCTGACAGGACATTTAATTTTACCCCTGCTGGTAAACATCCAACTATTGCTTCTGAAAGCAAAATTAAGACTGCAAATCACTCTGTAGATCAAAAGTCTTTTTAAAAAATCCCTATACTTATTTTTAGGAGATGCTAAGAATACGTATGATTTCAGTGGAGTGTCCATGGAAACCAGAATTACATTCTGCAAGGGCATTCTTGAAGTCAGGGTGGCTCAAGTAGTAGTACTAGCCTGTTGAATAGAACTACCTTTTCTGAGAACCCTGATACATACAAGGATTGACTCGTTTGTACTGATATTTATCTGGTTATGCATTGAGTGAATTTTAAGTAGCATAAAAGGAAGAACAATGTAGTACTACAGAAACACTCATTTTGGAGTCTAGCTATGCTTCTCATTGTCAAGTGTGTATACATCAGCTTGCACAGAAATGCTGTTTAAGGGACAGTAGATATATTAATATTAGTCCCTCCTACACATCAGCACTGAGGAACATTACAGAAAGTAGAATTCTTCTATTCCAAGGTTTAACTGTAATTGTAATTTGTGTTCCAAAAAAGGTTTAGATGAGTTACCTCCTCTGAAAACTAACTTCAGATCACTGTTGATATCAACATTTTAAAAAAATATCCCATGGTACCGCCTGACAGTCTTTTCAACCCACTAGTAACAAAATCTGGAATAAATGGTATGCTGAGGAACATGATTAGATAAACCATTCAGAATAATATTGTACAGAAAGCACCTGCAATTTGCATCCAACATCTATATGCACAGTATTAATGTGTTAGTAGAAGAAAATTTCAGGACTAGCACATTGATACAAGCAATTGAAAACTCAACTGCAGTGAAGCGGGAGCTATCCTTTACAAATTTAAAGAGGAAAGAGACATGGCCCCAAGTAGAAAGAAGCCCAAACACTTGAAATAATACTCAGTAAGCTTTAAACAGTTATGTTCTTTGATAAACTAAAAGGTTTGAGTGTACCTAATCAAGGCAAGAAAAAGAACTAGCTGTTTAGTTTCATTTGAGCTTTCATTAGATTTCTAACTTTGTTAAGGCAAACATGGATCATGTATCCAAGCTCAGATAACATATCCTCCTCTTATGACAAGCAAGAAGAATGTGGGCAATGGCCTCTAACATGTCAGATAACTTAGCAATCAAGACTCATGCCCTGCATAGACATCAAGGAACACTGTACTGGGAACAGAGGTTGTGTTAAGCGATTGCACTGCCTGTACAAAAATTCATTAAACTTGTTTCATCATTAAGACCTATTTACAGTAAATTCCACGTCACTCACCTGTGTCAGGGACATCTGTAGGTCTCATAATTCTCCGAATCTGCTCCATTGACTGGAGATCTGGAGACAGTCCTGTAAGTACAAGAAAACAAGTGACTCATCTACAGATTTTACCTGTAAAAAGGGTTCCAGACAGTTAGAGGTTCAAGTCATACAGCATCCAGTTTTTCCACTGTAATATAAACAAGACAGCTTGCTATAAGACAATTAAGGTCCTGAACAGAGGGACAGATAATAACACATCTGAAATCAATAAGGGGTTTTCCTTGTTTTCCTACCATCCTTTTAACCACACAGCACAGAACTCTGCAGTTAAGTATGTTCTCTTCATCAGCTTACTAGAGAGAACCAGTGAAGGATAGCATTCCCATTAACACAATTAAACTGGATGAAGATAATCTTTTTTACAATCACTTTACTTTATAAAAGCTAAAGGAAAATCCCCTACCCAGCTTTAAAAGATCAAAAGCCAAAGCAGGCTGCAGGTATGACTGGAATCATAAGTCACATCGCCATACTTCAGTGTTTTACCACACATCAGCTGAGCAGCAGTCACTGAATACTAACTAGACAGTGCAACTGCAACAAATGAGCACAGAGGTGTGTTCATCAACTACAGCTCAGCTGCTTAGTCATTTATAAAACCACAGTACCTTGATTACTCAAAAGCTCATTTATCACAGAGACACAGCTCTTTAACGTGTAGTCAAAGATAAAGCATGGGATTCCAAACCACTCTTTGAACAGTACACGCTCTAGAGCTTTTCTACTTGAGGCATACAGGAACAGGCATGAAAGAGAGCCTACTAGATGCTCTAGCATCTTAACATGTCCTTAAATAAGGGTCTTACAATGACTTAAATTACTTAGGCCAAGATCACCTCATTAAGAAAACTGCAGATTTTAAAATAGAGCATGAAGACCTAATTTGTGATGAAACATACTTCATATTAGCAAACAACATCCATTTGACTCAGTCCAGAACTTTGAACATGAGAGAAGAAAACGTCATTGGAAAGGAGTCATCGTATAAAACAATTTCAGCCGACATCAGTTTGCACAGTGGCAATGCTTATGTTACAGGAACAACGACTCCACTGCATTTGACAGAAAGACTTGAGGTACTTTTCTTCAAGTATTAAATTTTAGATTATTTTTGCTGAAGAAGTCTAAAACCTTCCACTCTCATCAGCTTGTTAAAGCTGTCTTCACGATATTACGTTGAGGCTGTGAAGGATGGCACAAATCTTGCATTACACAGTATATCAAAGGAGTTTTAGTCAGTTCTACTTACACAACAATACAGGGATACTAGTATAAATTCGAGTAGATAATCAGCTTTTAAACTTTGACCAATCTAGCACTTCCCCTTCTTCAGAACTGATTTATGAAGATTACATTAGCACAAAGGCACGTGGATTCTACTCTGATTCTGCCCAGCACCACACCCTGAGATAGTAGTGAACAATCTCAGTGAAATAAGCACAACCAGTTTGTTACCTTCTGAGGTTGCAGCTCTCAGTGTTTTAGGTTGCACCCAAAACATTAAGTTATTTAAAAGAAAATATGTTATTACAAACCATGTCTCAACCCTGTAGCTGTTAATTTTTATGCTGTTTTACACCACTGTAAAATAGGAAAATCACACAAAACTGCCTACATGTTTGTAGCCCTCTTTGTAACCACTCAAGAGGTTTTATTTTCCCCAAATATCTTCCTAGTTCCCCCTGCACAAAACGAAATAGCTAATGTCTCAAATTCACAGACAAAATTAAATGAAGGAAATAAGAATACAGAGGCAACTAAAGCTCACTGTCAAGCTGCTGCCGCTACAGTGACTGCTGCAACCTACTGTGTACTGAAAGAAAACTGAAAAGCACATAATTGAATTAAGTTGTCTTGTCACATAATGACAGCTAAGCACAGAAAAAGTATCTTTCAGTATACTGAAATATATCTTTCAGTATACTGAAATATATCTTTCAGTGTACTATCTTCTCGAATTGTAAGAGCACCCTTTCCCTAAGGGAAAACAGAAAATGAATTGTCATTAATCCCGGCAGATTAATCAAATTCAGGCTCTGGAATTGGTAAACTAAGAGTGATTACTTATTTTTATAGTGTAGTCCAAGAAGCTCAGGTCTTTTATCAGGTAGACTTCATTTTAAAATACATTTCGTTATCATTAATGTCACAAGAAAAACAAAATTCCAGAGCTTGAAAATGTGACTCCCATCTCACAGCTGAAATCAAATGCAGCAAGACCAATGTGTTCCATCAACATGACACTACAACATGGACTTAATTTATAGAAACTTGAAAGTAGTCACATAAGGTCTCTAAAGATTAAAACTAGAGAGTGGTGTCATAGATAAGAGGACAATACTGTACAGAATACAAAGGAGCACAAAAGGGAGAAGTCGGGAATGGTTATGGAATAAGCTTTAATGAAGCGAGATAAAGAGCAAAGTCAGAACTAAGTCAAGAGGGCAGCCTCAAGAAAAGGCCAAAGTATGACCTGTATGAGCAACGTGGAAAGACAAGGAAGAGAGAGGGAGATGATGGGAAGGATACAATGAAAGGTTCTTTCAGCAGCATGAACATTTGGAGACAGGGATGGCATGAGAGGTTTGATTTATATTGTGAGACAAAGAACTCAAAATGGCAGATGCCCAGAAAAGTCTGGGTAAAAAAGCTAACTCAGGATGGATTTGAAGCTACTGTAGATAGCCTACTGGGTAAGTTAGGTGCCTTTTGTTTTACTATGTTATGCGGTTTTGCAAAGTTTTATTATATATCCCAGAGGACAATATTTTTAGAATAAACTATGCAAAAATGCGCAATATAGTAAAAAAGGCACCTACCTTATATCTACAAGCTAGCTGCAACCTCCAGCAGAGTTGAATGGTTTGTGTTGCTGCCTCAGTGTTTATTATAGTAGTAACATCATGTAAAGGCGTTGACAGTCCATGACTTCATGGGATCTGGAATGCAGTTTGGACAGGATTGGAGAAGAGTGCAAAAGGGCAGAACTTATTTATGTGCTGAATGTCCACTTTAATTTATTACGAGCACACAGCACATTTAGTAATCTTTTTATTTCACAGCCACAGATCACTTGTGAGTGATATTAATTTCAGTTACAGACGAAGCCTGTACAAGTTTAAGGGACAATTAGCATACATTAAAGTATTAAGTACTGCTCTTTGTAAGTGGATCCTTAAAGCATATTATGCACAAAATAAAAGTTTTCCTACTTGATTAAACAAGAGGTTAATGCCCCCAATACGTTTATAATAAAGAATGGTTTTTTTCGTGAAAAACGGCTTTCTAGGCTTCTTAATCATAGCTTGGGTCTCAAGTGCATATACATATAAAACTAACAGTTTTGTCACAAAACACAGCATTCTACACTACCTGCTAAAGCTTCCTTGATTACCTAAGCTTAATCACTTGCCTGAAACACCACAGTATTTTGTCACCATTCATTCTCTACTGTTTCCCAAATTAAAAAAAAAAGTATAATGATAGTAAAAGAATAATTCCTTTGACAGCTTTTTTGGAAACAAATTTATTAAATGGTTTTAGCCATGATAATTGGCTACCTCAGTGCAGAAGTGATTTTCTATCTCACATTTTTAAAATAATGAAATCTAGCTTGTAAAATAGGTAACAGTTCTTAAAGAAAAAAAGACGCCACACTGAGAACAAGATGAAAAGATGACCTGTGAGAAAACAAGTACTTTTTCTAACATGTCAGTGCTACCTGGAGACTGTCAGACTCAACTGTTTATCACTGTATTAATTCTGGATTTACAGAGACATGACAACACCTCAGAGCATATTATGCATAAGACTCCAATAGCTTATTCTAGCAGGCACTGAAGGCCGAAGCTTTCAAATATAAGATGCAAGAAGAGCCAGAATCATTTTTACAGCACAGCCCATACAGGCAGAGCTCTTGTGAAGATACCAGTATATTAATAAAGGCAGGATGGCAGCCATCAAGACAACCTCACAAAGTCTAGAAGAGTCTGCTCGTGAATTTTGAGTGCATTCAGTCAAACTAAAGGTTTCTGCAGTGCTCTCACTTCCACTAATCTCTAATTATCTCACTGACAATGCAAGTGTGACACCTACCAGACCATCTCTGGACCACTCAGTGCAAGGCATCAAGTTACTTATTAATGGAGGCAGTTGCAAAGACAGCTGCAAAAAGGCAGGATGGCTCTTACTGCAAGTTATTTGGAATTGTTGTAAACTGTCTGACTCTCCAAGGTTCCAAAAACCTGTAAGCATCACTGCCTGTAAAAACACAGGGAGTCCCCTTCTACAAAGAAATACACCCAAGTAAGTTCCAATATTCAGACAAGTCACAAGCCTCAGTCAGATCCAACACCAAACACTTTTTTCACTAGAACAGGGCAGCACTGGGACAGGTGCCCACAGAATATAGATTTTCCAACAGGAAAGGTTTTATGGAGTCTGAGCAAGCCATGGCTGACCTCCTCTAATGGTAACTAATGTCCTACTTCAAGCAACAGGCTTGACTATGTGATTTCAGAGGTCACTTCCACCAACACCTTATGAAACCAGCTAAAGAGGCCAGGAGCTGTGGTTACTTGTACAAGTTATTCTTTCACTTCACTGCTAGGGATGCCAATGTTAGCTAAGGCTGCACTGATAGATGGTAATAGCAACAAGTCACGTGGCAAATTAGGCAAGAATTGTAGCATTCAGCATCCTTCAGAGAGGGACACACTGATGCGAAATACTTACAGATGCACTTGCCCCTCAGGCACAGAGGGCCATGTGCATCGGGAAGGATGACATCTGTCTGCTGCCAGGTGCACAGAAAAGCACAAGGGATAACAGCGACCTTGACAGACAATACAATGTTAAACGTCTCCAGCTAAAAATCAGGCATGCACATCCACACTCCATTTGGTATAGCACTCACCCAAAGATCAGTTTTGACACAGCCTTTAAAAGCAATCGCCAGCTTACCTCCATGACAACAGAAGATCTTCTCATCCACAATGGCTGCAATAGGCAGGCAGTTAAAACAATCTGTGAAGGTCTTCCACAGCTTAATGTTAAATCTCCGCTTGCCTACAAGAACAGCATGCAACATTAGGAAGAGAAGGCCGTTTTCTTAAAGTCATTCTGCAATACATATCACACAATCCAACCAAAAATGTTAGCACACTGTCTTCACAAGGCTTTTTTTCTGTTAGCCTACTTAGTTTTCAATCTCATTCAACAGCTTTTCAATGACAGCAGAGCAAATAATTCTCTATGGTAACTTTAAACTTCGTTTGAAGCGTACTTTGAGAAAGTTTCAAAGCAGGTTCACAGAATACCAAAATCCTTGCAGAGCAAGAATCACTTCTAGAAGCGTCTCCAAAACACAGTATTAGTGTGTAACAGTCTTTCAAAACAAAGAGGCTTTGCTTACATTCATCATAGAATCCATAGATCCGGTTGATGCTAGCACACTCATGATTTCCTCTTAAGAGAAAGAAGTTTTCCGGGTACTTGATTTTATATGCCAGTAATAGGCAAATTGTTTCCAGAGACTGTTTGCCTCTGTCTACATAATCTCCAAGGAAAAGATAATTAGCTTCTGGTGGGAATCCTCCATATTCAAATAATCGAAGCAAGTCTGTATACTGACCATGAATATCACCTAAATAAGAAAATGTTTACCAAGGATTAATGCAACAACATAAAGAGGACACAAATCAAGAACTTAAGTCAGCCAGTCACTTTTTATTAACTGATTTTAAAAAAACCCCATTAAAATATTTCCTTTAAAAACAGATAGGCATTAGATATCAGAAAAGTGAGAACCATGTTAACATTGCAAACTTAAGTACTCACTAAATGTAAATAACTCACAGTATTTGCAGAACTGCTATGTCAGTTATGAAACCAATCTGAAAACCAAAAGCTACAGAAGTCTTCGCAATTAAACTTAAGCTTTCTAACCAAGCTCTAATTTGTTCAAATTAAAACAAGGTGAGAAAAACAACCTCTAACTGTTGTTGAGTTACATGGCCAGGAAGCCAATGTATTAACAAAAAGTTAAATCACATTATTTACTGCAAAAACATCAGTAAAGAATCTAGACAGACTGGAGAGAAACTGCACATTGTGCTAGCAGAGAGCATTTTACATCAAAGGTCAACTACTTGTCCCCCCATAACATTGCTGTACCAAGATCCCCATGCTCCAGCATTTAGGATAACTCCTCCTTTAATACAATTATTCATATAAAAACAGTACAGGGAATGAAAGACCAATATCCCTAATGAGGTATTCAATGCTGCAGGTATATCTTAGGAAAATTGACTGCCATGTCACTCACCACACTGCCAGCTTTAAAATTAAGAAGGCTTTCCATGGAACAGCTCTGTGTGGCAATTACAACACCACAGCCTACCATATCAGACTAGCCAAAACTAATTATCTGTGAGCTGCCCATAAGGTCAAAGAAGATACCAAAGCTGTTCTACAGGAACTCCTAGAATACATGCAATGTATTCCAGCTGACTGCAGAATTCATTACCAAAGTGACTGAATGCAAATACAGCTGTGCAAGAAGCCTTCAGTAAGAGCTGTATGCTGTTTAAATTTAGTGCCTTTTAGTCCCTTACACCAAGCATTCCATAAATGCATTTTCACTTTTGCTGCTTGTTCAGTGGCAAAATCCCAGCTTAAGCACAGCTATTCTCCAGTAGAGCACGAGCTACCTTGGCCTTAAAAAAGCAAAAAACCCAACACACGTCTCTACAACTATTTCCATAACCTTAAAAAAGAAAAAAGGTTGACAGAACTGCATGGTCTCCAGTTCAATTCTTAAAGCATACAGTGGTAAGCAGAGTACATAGCTATATTCCTCTTTACTCTTTCCATGAGAAACGCAATTCCTTTAAGCAGCATTCTTGCACAACTATTTCTCTCTCAGGGAGAAGAAACACTTTCCAGTTTTCCTCTAATAACAGGGAATGTTACCTACTACCCAATTCAAGACACAATCTGAAGTTTCAGTTGCTAAAATAATTTTCACAGATGTTGCAACAAGAACAATTCCTATTCTGCTTGGTATTTAGAAGTCTCCAGGTCATAAACAGAAGACAACATAGAAGACCCCTCAACAAGTCATTGCTATGCTGAGTCTAGTACTCCAGAACTACACTATCAATACATTCTCCAGACTTCACCACCATCAGAATTAACTACCAAGCAACCATACTTCAGAAAGAATATTATAATTGCATTCTTTGTCTAGAACTACTTTAAACTGCACACATGAGCCAGAGAGATCAAAGCACTTAAAGAGTAAAGGAGTATTTCATAGAAACAACTTTGTAAAGGGAACAAAGCACTTACTACTCCATTCAAGACACTTGGCATTTTAAAATACAGCTTCATATGGGCACAAGTTGAAGTCGACCAGATACAAAGCCTTACAGTAAAAAGTGCACCTATTATAAATGAGCGTTTACATAAGAATATCTTTCATCTTACATTAAAACACAGCCATTCAAGATGCAAAAGCTTATTTTGAACTGACTTGATTACAAGAGAAGACAATCCTGTAATGGTTCTTCAGGCATTGCCTGAACACTAAAATAGTAGATCAAAGCAGTACAGCTACGTATTTTGCTCTTGGTGAAAGCAATCATCTTTCTTTCACTTTTATCTAAATGCATCTTTGACAATTGCTCTAATATTAAATTTAGATGCACCTGACACTTCCTGGTGCTATCACTGTGTTTGGACTCCAATTTTAAAATAACAAATGCCTTATTTAACTGTGTATTTACTACCCTATTACTGTGCATCTAACAGTATTTTCAACTACCTCGATTTAAGCAAATCACACTCTGAAGAAGGCTAATTATACTTTGCAGACCTTGACTTATGTACAACCTATGAGTTTTCATTTTTTCTTTATCCAGGAATACGATAAGACTACTGTAGCCTTTTCAGCATAGCATAAACACTACGTGGCAAATCTGGATTTTACCTTCAGCTTTATGTCATTATGCAAGCTGGTCTGGCTTTTCCTCCCCATCCTACCAAGCAATTAGTCATTTAAAAATGACTTTGTTATTAGTGCTTTTTAAAAAATATCTTTAATTGGTAATATCCTAGCTTAATGAAAGAAACATCACTACATTAGGTCTGCCAGGAAGAAGCCTAGGAAGAAGCTAGTTTATCTTCGAGCATGTAAGTAACAACAAATTCAAGGACTGCTTCTATTTCAATATTATCACACTTTAAGAAGCCTAATTCAAGAAATTCTATGCCTTCTAAGACTGCGTCTGCTGTTAATAACTTGAAGGATGACTACAAGCCGGTATTTACAATGCTTTTACAACAGTTTTTAACAAGCTTGCATACCTATTAACAGTGTACTTCTGAAGAAGTCTAGCATCTTGTAAAGGTTTAGAGAGGTAAAGAACATGCACGTTTTAGTTTTATCCATATTTGACAGCAATAACAATGTTAAAACTTGTTATAAAGCTCAAGGAATTTACTACATGGTAACTAATCCTAATTTAACAGTCTGCATCCAGTTTTATCTTTTCAACTGAATGACTAACAATGCTTTATTCAACACTACTTTTGAAGTGTTCCATCTCACATGTAAAGATCTTTGTTTTGCTTATGCTTCAGAGAAGAATACTACAACATTAAACTTTTGTTAGTCTTAAAGCTACCTGCTTTTTGAAATAGTGATCGAAAGAGTAGCAGCTCTGTGCAAGCAATCCCTAGGAAAGTAGAAGGGATGGGCTGCAAAATTTGCACTAGATGAGGGCACAAGCAGCTCTTGCTGCCAACGGAACTGGTTTGTGAACAGCACTGGAAGCATCAGCAATCTATGAACTGCTAACTGCCTTTTCTCATGAAGACCTCACTCTAATCCGTACCACCCAAGTCAAGGTCACTTGCCTATCTCAGTATCCTTCCAATCCACCCAGTACACAACTAGATTAAAATATCTACAGAAAACACATGCATATTTAGTTTACATACCACAAATTTTCAGAGGTGCCTCTAGTTCCAGGAGAATAGGCTGGCTAAGAAATATTTCCCGTGATTTTATGCACAAGCCCCGAACTTCTGCTTCGGTCATCTGAACAATCTTCCCAGGACGACATCCTCGTACTGAAATGAGATGTTTAACAATTAAAGGTAACTACCACACAGATACACAGCAATAGGTAAGTGCAGTTGAGCTGTATTTGAAATCTCTATTTGACAAAAAGCCAGCAGCACACTCCAACATATCTACCAAACGTGTTGGAATTATGTATTCCAACAAATTCTAAAATTAATCTCTGATACTGTGGTAATCTGTGCTTAAAGGTCTGTATGCATTCCTGTTAAATCATGTTATTAGAATAGAATTTAAGCCTTGCTTTCATCCACATTTGGATAAATAGCAACTTCAAAAAGTGTTAGTATTAATAATTGTATTATGCCAGAGTATTCACAATAGGAAAAAAAACCCCAAGAATGGAAATCCTGAAAACACTTTCACATTAGCACAAAATAAACTTTTTTAGGACTGTTGAGTTCAACAGGGCTAGCTAAATATGAAGAAAGAAACACAGGCATGGCAGCTGAAATTGCCATATTAGGAACATCAAACTAAAATCCATGAAAGCTTGATGAAGCCACCATTCATATATAATGCATCTTGAGTTATTGGAACCTTACACCCAAAGACATTCTAATTAGAATGCAACTGAATTCCAAACCCATTAAGTCAGGTATTCAGACCTATATTTAGCACTAAGTTTTCAAAAGTATTCACATCATCCTGTTCCAACCAACATCCTCTGGCAAGTTTATCTGCAGCTGCTTATTTCCACAAATATCTGTACAATTCCTCTGTCAGAGGCTTTAAAGTGTCTTTAATGAGGTGGCAAAATAGAACAAATGTGTCTGCACTTTGGTTGATCCAGTTCAGCCTTGCATCTCAGCATAAACCAAACTTCAGAGTTCAAACTAGTAAGCCCGAATGTATCACTGTCTACAACAGGCGAACATCCTGTTCTGCCAGCTGCTGTAGATGGAAGCAACATTCAGCATTAAACCACGGCAGTACCTACAAGAGAAGGTGGTATGAAACTTTAGCAGTTCAAACTCAAATGCTTTCAAACTCAAACATAATAAAACATTACTTCATAAAAATTTTAGCTGCAACTTCAGGAAGTCTAATAAGATAGATGTGCAAACAGAATAGTAAAAACTAGTTCACACAAAGTTCCCAGCTTGCCTGCTTCCCCTCTCCAAAAAAGAGGACTAAGCTCACAACTTTTTTTTTTTTTAATTAATATAATCTCCCTTTTCCTTTTATTTCTGCTTAGCTCCTAGAAAACATACTTTACTGAGGAGATCAGTATCATTATCTACATTGTGCAATGGGGAAAAAAGGATATGAGGGTGAACAGTTTGTCCTAGGTCACATAGTACTACAGTCCAAAGTGTTAAGCTCAAAAAGCTCTGCTCTGGTTATCACTGCGTACTTCTCCCAGTGTAACTGCACATCTGACCATTCCAACACTGTGCTACGGATTTTTATTCTTAATAAACAACAGACACAGTTGTTAAACTGAGATTAGGAAGCAGCCATGGGAACATGTGAAAAGGCAAAAATGAAGAATGGTTCTCTCAAGCAGGGAAGAGAAGATGTGACACTAGATCCTGGGACAGCCAGTTTGAGTGCCAAAACAGCAGGAGGGTTAGTCTATTTGCAGGGAGGATGCACTGGAAATACTTAGCTCATTAGAATCCCACAAGAACAAGGCTGTGGCATATAGGACTTCTTTCAGTGAAACTCTGAATCAGTACCAGGTGATATTTACCACATGGTAAGTCACATTCCTTTTGCTAATTAAGATTTCAACCATACTTGAGAAAGTAAACAGCTTATTAACACTTTTCTGTTATTCTTCGTGCATTAAGATGTTGGCTTACATATTAAAAGAATACAAAGGCAGACATTAGACACAATCAAGGTGACTAGAAAACAGTAAATGTCTACAGGCTTCCATTTTATCACATCTCGAATGTCTACTAAGTGATGCACCTAGAGGTACATCTTCAGCCCCAGAGATTATTAGCAAAAAGAAAACAAATCTCAGGCTTGACAGCTTTGCACAGGACTCTACCATCCAATTTGTGAGGTACAAAAATGCTCTAACAATCTCCACCTTTTCAAACACTTGCATTCCGGCAGCTTATAATGATCCCTTTCATAGACCACAAACTCATTTTGGTAGGCACAATAAACTGTCACCAACATGAAAAAGCTCACACCTGAAAGAGTAGAGTCTTAGTACCACAGTGACTATCATTTTATTGAAGCAATTGCTATATTTTAAACCCATGGCTAACAACATCAAGGTCATGACAAAGCAGCATGCAACACTAGTTTCGCAGTTCCATTTTTCCTCTACAAACTGTGCATTTTTTTTAACCTGTTTTGATAAGCAATAATATTCTCCTCGATATTTAATTACTTTCATGATATTTTGAAACACCAAAATTAAGCCACTTCATGCAGATTAAAACCAAGTAGTGACATAACTGCATACCTTTTACATCCACTCTAGTTTTGGAACTCAAACTCGGGAAAACCCACCATACACAACATTAATGCTATGGTAAATAGCACCAAACCAAGTAAAGTCCAAAATTGAGACAACAGTTCAAGGAGGGCACTCTTAATACTTAAATTAACTTTGATTCAATCAGTATTTCTTAGAACATCAGCCTTTAGCTCCCTCTGAAATTCAAATGGAGGTTTAAACCTGGAACAATTGCTTTACAGGGTTGAGGCTTTAAGCACTGCTGGATTTTTGCACTAGAAGACACAGCGAACATGCAGCTCCTAACATCAAAATTAACTGTCACAGCTGGGTGCATCCAGTATCTTGATTTCAGTTCTTTACTTTTTAGAGTAAGGCCTTAAATGCTGCAAGCCCTTAACAGACAAACCAACAAACAGGGAGTAACTTATTACCTCACTTCGGATTCTCCAGATAAGATACATTTCTACAACTATGGCAAGTATGTCCCTCTCAGGATGAGATAACAGACACCTAATGATAGCAGTTACTTCCAGCCCTTGGGAAGGGTGCATACAAATCTGGGCCGCCGCACCTTTGCAAAGGCACCTTCCCCTCCTCCATCTGAACAGTCAGCCGCTCTACACAGCAAACACGTAAGCTTGGTTACACTTGGACAAGTACAAAGCCTAGAGTTTCATGAGCAATAATCATCAATAATATAGTTAAGAGAAAATAAATTTTCTCCCCCAATCCCCTGATCATCAATAAGAGTACCACATACTGAAAAATGAGAAGCTAGTCCAACCCTGGCAGCCCCAGCCCTTCACTGGATTCACAAAGGCACTGAAAGGTTCACCAAGTAGTCATCCAAAACAGCTGTGCCACAAGGACACATGCAAGACTCAGCACATCTTTCACCAGCTCATGCCACAACTAGAATTTTGAACTTTCCTTGACTCAGCTGAGCGCTGTATGGATTGTAAACAAGAACATCTCTCAATTCAGATGATAATTCTGAATTATTCTGAATCATAATTCATAATTTCAAAAGCCAGATGCCCAAGAACAGATTTAAGAGGATGACATGAGAATGAGATCAAGAGTGTAAGTGATGTTTTTCAAGCTCATTTACAAATTACTATAGCTAGCCATTCTTAAAACATGCAAGTCATAGCTGCCTGCACTGTAAAATCTGTAGCTCACAAAAAGCCTTTAACAGCACTGGGAAAACCATCACTTTTAATGGTTGTCATTTACCCAGAGCAGAAATGGCATGTCAACATTAGACGTAAATTAATTCTCTTTAATCTAAGACGCAGATGCGGTAAACAAGCTTTGATTTACATAAAAGCCTTCAGTAGGGACAGCAATTCCTGTTGTAACACACAATCCCACGTGCATAGTGCTGTGCCAGAACAAGCCTTTGCTGCAAGGAGCTTAAAGCAGAGTGACATAGCAGGGAATAAAGAGAATTAAAAGCAGCTACATGCATTGTACTGTCAGGCTATTATTTTAGCACAATAGATACATTAGTAATCCAAAAATTGCTGTGATCAATATTAAAATAGCCTCTCTATCTACACAACCTTTGATATGCAATCTTAGCAAGTCTACTAATAGCAATTAGTAATCAGAGGCACAAGTTGCACAGTGGCAGTAAAGAAAAACTTCAGCAAATACATATATTTTTTTTAATCCCTCCAAATTCATGCCAGAGTAGCAGATTTCTAAGGCAATGCTGGAGAGGAAGGCAATAAATAACACTAAGTGGGTCAAGAACTGGCGGTTGGAAGTTCTATGAGCATCACTTTTTGCCATGCTCTTTCATGAGCTACAGAAAATACATTTAAACTATTCTGTCACGCTGTTTCTGGCATGCCTTTCACTAAGTAACTAAACTGCCCATTTTGTGGCATCACTAATAGAAGTTTCTTCAACTACTAAATCAGCTGTGGTATGCACAGCTGTCCTAAGCATTTATACTGTGTTCTCCAGTATCACACATGTCCTGTCTACTGGACAAAACACTCATGGTTTTAGCATAACATTAAAACCCAAACAGACTTCTCCTAAGTCTCATTAAAAACTGGGCCAGCACTATTGCTAAGCAGCAGCCTCCTTCTTT